AATATACACGCGTACGGAATACATGAAATAATTTTATAATGTTTTGCGTTAGAAATTTAGATAACAACAATACTTTTCTTATGTCTTTTAGTACTTGGAGTTTGTGGATTACTTGTTGTTTTTATAATAGAATTTTGGTTAAATATAATTGCCTCTGATTTGCCGATGAATACAACTCGATTACTGATTATGATGGAGTATTTTATTGATCAAGAAAAATCTTTTTATTTGGCTCTATTGCACATAAATATAGCAATATACGTTGGATCAGCTACGATGGTAACAATAGGTTCACTGCTTATTACATATCTTCAGCATACATTTGGAATGTTTAGAATTGCTAGGTACAAATATTAAAGATGAAAAATTATAATATCTTAGACTATAAAAAATTAATTACTTCTGAAAGAATTCATTTTGTCAAACAAGAGGTGTAACTATTACTGTTGAAGAATTATACAATTTAAAATATTATTATATAATTACAATATATTCATTTGTAGCTATCGTATACAAAATGCAATGGATATCGGTAGTCTGCAAAATACTACTATAAAAAATAGTATTTTTATGTACGACGGCATAATTTGCGCTGTAAACATTCATCGGGAAGCTCTAAAGTTAGTATTTAACATACGTTACAACATAAACTTTGCAGTTAATTGCAGCAGCGCTGTTGCAATGTTACAATATTACAATAATGTTGCTGCAATATAGTTACAAGATCTGTTATGAGGTTAATGTCTAAGGATAAGAGTATAGTATATATAATAATACTATTTTTTTAAGGTTATCTAAAAATTTGCTATCTATATTGGAGGTAATGATAATTTGTTTAATAATATGTGGAGTAACTAGTTTGAGTCTCAGTCTATTTCATGTAAGTTTCCTAGTAGTTGTATAGATGTCAAGATGTATAAAAGCTGTTTTGAAATTTTTTAACTGTTGTCAATTCTGCTTAACAAAGATAGCCAAAATTAACAAATTAATAATATAATATTTGAAATTATAAACTTTTAATAATCAATATAAAGGTGACAAATTCAACATTTAAGATAATTATAGATAAAGATAATTATCGCGGAAATTGCAAAGGACTTTTCTACTCAGTTTTATTAGCTTTGCCTGCCCACGAGAGGTGATACGACCGATACTGGACACCCTGTGGATACGGTCAAGGGTTTACTGCAAAGCAGCATTTTTGAAGCATTTTTTGATTGATGCATTAGTAAAATTCTTTGTTTTGATTGAACAATCAAACGCTTCGAAGTATTTGTAGTGTTACATTGACTACAGCCTGTATATAGTTTAATTATATTATCTTGTGTTTTGTGATTTTTCTTGAACTTAATGTATAATATAACAAGTCCTTAAAAATAATTTATTATCGTACGAAAGTAGAATGCATTTTCATTAATATTTGCGCAATCAAGACTTTTATTATTTTTTTACAGATTG